ACCCATATCATCCCTATGTGATTCGTATGCTATGTATACATATATACAGATTCATGTGTGTATATATATATATATATGTGTATATATATATATATACATATAAATATATATATATATAACTATATCTATACCTATATATTTATATATTCATATCTATACTTATATCTGTAGTTGTACTTATATCTACATCTTTATCTATCTATCTATCTATCTATTTATCTATATATATACATAATATATATACGTATGCATATATATATATATACATATATGTATATATATATATATATGTATGCGTATGTATGTCTGCATATTGCGACGAGCTTCTTCGGAGCTAGGGGTGCTGGGAATTCCCAGGCTGCGCTCAGGGCACCGTGCCGTTGCTTGGAGTCCCTTGCGTGATTTGAATGCTGAAAAATTCAGCACGAGCAGCAGCAGCAGCAGCAGCAGCAGCAGCAGCAGCAATGGCAGTTGTAGTTGCAGTAGCGGGAGCAGTAACCGTAGCAGTAGCGGTAGCAAGGGTAGGGCAGTAGTGGCAGTAGTGGTGGTAGTAGTAGTAGCAGTGGGAGTATAGCAGAGCAGCAGCCGTAGCCGTACCCGTTGCCGCAGTTGCAGCCGTAGCCGGAGCGGACCCGGAGCCGTAGCAGTAGCAGTAGCGACAGCCGTCGCTGGTAGTAGTAGTAGTAGTAGTAGTAGTAGTAGCAGTAGCAGTAGTAGTAGTAGTAGTAGTAGGAGTAGTAGTAGTAGTAGTAGTAGTAGTAGTTGCAGTAGTTGCAGTAGTAGTAGTAGTAGTAGTAGTAGTAGTAGTAGTAGGCGTAACGGTAGTAGTAGTGGTAGTAGTAGTACTGTAGTATTAGCAGCAGCAGCAGTAGCACACAGTAGCGCAGCATTGTTCCAACCATCCTCATGTTTTCTTGTTTCTATTGGTTTTAAGATTCGTATTTGTGGTAGTCGTCGTCTTCGGCCTGAAACCAGAATGTAGTTTTGAGATGATTGGGCGGCATTGAGCGATGATGATTGCAGTGCGATCTGCAGTAGTTCTGCGCCCCGAGTTCCTGCATTCCCCAACACTTTAACCGGAACATCTCGCACAAACAAGCAGTCCATTCAAGCGAAAAGATCCAACAAAATCACACACCTACCGCTTGGAAGGAAGTTCCTGACGGCCAGGCCACAGCTCACTTTCAGCAGTGATTGCTAGGTTCAGAGGTTGGGTTTTCGAGCCGTCAGGATACGATGTGAATGGCCAAAACACAAGCATGTTCGCTCTGGAGGATTTTGACGATCAGTCCCGACACCTTAAAGTTGGCTGGAAACGCTGTAAACCATTACTTGCCTGCCATGGCCGCCTGCTTGCTAGTAATGCTGCTACTAGTCTTACTAGCAGTAATTCTAATGATGCTGTTGCTGCTACTAGAACGCCAACGTGTACTGCTGCTGCTTTGTACTGCTATCGCGACTGCTGCTACAGTTGCACTGCTACTACTTAATGAATCTAAAAGGTAACAAGAATGGTAACAATAGTACGCATGCTGCTACTGCTTCTAGCGCTACTGCTGCTGTGCCATGCTACGGCTACTGCTATACGGCTGCTGCTACTCTTACGGCGCGGCGACACCAACTGCTGCTGCTGCTAACCACTGCCACAACCACTGCTACCACTGCTGCGACTGCTATCGCCGTGTACCGTTGCCATGCGGTACTCGCACTTAAAGCAGCGCGCAGGAAAGGGAGTGAAACAATATTGCTATTGGTCGTGTCATCATAAACAGTATGTGAATGACGTCATTGTAGGCATACGGCAAATGTACCACTATCAACGGAAACGGGCACCTTCAATTGCAGCAGTTGTCGTAACACCGACACTCATAGGCCACGCAGCGATACTCGTACGAGTGACCAGCATGACAAGCAGCAGCACGGGTAACAGTAGCGACTCAAGATACTGCAGTGTCGTACTGGTATGAACTGCGGTCATAATGGTAGTAATGCCGGTACCAATCTAAACACACTACCAGTAATGATGTTCGTACAACTAGTGGTAGGCGCAAACCGAACAACTTTTGCCAGACAAAGGTCATCTTCGGAAAAACGACGACGCTGGTGATCTTACGCAGCCATAGTCATCGTCACAAGGAAAGTTAAGTTACACTAGTGGTGGTAGTGGTAGGAGTCGCGGTAGTCATTGTAATCATGCTCGGCATGGCAATCACAGCGACCATTGTCGTGGTAGGAATGCCCGTCATGACGCATGCAAGAGCTGTTTACAGGGGTAGTTGTAGGATTTGTAATCATCATGATCCTTATGATCATGGCTTCCTCCTACACCTCCTCCTCCTCCTCCTCCTCCCCCCGTCGTCATCATCATCATCATCACCATCCTCGTCCTCATCCTTATCCTCGTCCTCATCCTGATACTTGTCGTCATCCTCAACCTTATGCTCATGCTCCTGATCCTTCTCATCCTCATCCTCATCCTCCTCATCACCATCATCGTCATCATCATCATCATCACCATCATCATCACCATCATCACCATCATCACCATCATCACCATCACCGTCGTCATCATCCTCCTCCTCCTCCATCCTCCTCCATCCTCCCTCCTCCTCCTCCTCCTCCTCCTCCTCCTCACCAACATCATCATCACCATCACCATCACCATCACCATCACCATCACCATCACCATCATGATCATGATCATGATCATCATCATCATCATCATCATCATAGCGGTTGGAGGGTGATGACACGTAGTGAGCTGCCGTTGAACGTGTCCAGGCCATCGACTTCTTCTTGCCGTGGGCTTGTCGGGGATCCGTCTTGTAGGTATCGACTACCACCACGATGTGTATGTTCTGATCAACGGAGGGATACCTGTCCACTCCAATTCCTTGCCGCTTCAGGTCCGACCTTGCCGCCTTCAACGAGGCCCAGGACTGCTTGGACATCGCAAAATCTATGACCTTGAATCCGCCAACCAGCCATCCGGTGCCAGGACCCGAAGGTGCTCGAAAACCGCAGCGTCGCTGCGGAGGAGGCCGTTTCGGTTTAGAGGTTGGGGTTTGGGTGGGAGGGGTTCTGGTCTTGGACGAGGCTGTTCGCATTCCCGTAGATTCTTGCCGTCGACGCTGAATTGCAAACTGTTCAGGACCATAAGAGTCTACCAGTATTGAGGAATCCCCACTCGGGATGCCAGGCATGTTGACTCTACACAGGGTCTAGAAGAAACCCTCGACCAACTTGCAAAAGCTCTGACGAACTTCAAGGGCTCGACATCCAGGCCCAGGAAGTGATCAGGTGCTTTCTGCCACGATGCTGAGACTGATGAGCATTATGATGCTGATGACGATGACGATAACGACGACGATGACGATGACGACGATGACGACGATGACGACGATGACGATGACGACGATGATGATGATGATGCTGATGGTGATGATGGTGATGGCTCGTGTCCGTGCTTGATCATTGTCCACTGTCCTAGCGGAGGGTCTGAAAAGCCATGAAGGTGCCCCACCTCCCGGCCACAGCCCGGTGCCTTGCGGGCATAGGGGAACAGACCGTGGCCAAGTTTCGCGAGGAGGGGGCTCAGGGGGAGGAGGTTTCGGGTCCGGTGGACCGGGGATATTTCTGTCGGGGTGTGGGCGAAGGGTAATCGCATGTAGTCTGGGGTCAGAAGATGCTTGGGCATGTTCTTGTCAGTTCGCTGTTCAACGATGAGCCGTTTTGTCGTCGAGAGCCACGCTCCGAAAGCACTAATCGTAAGACCCTCGACGGCTGGAAGCCATGAAGAAACATGCAAACGAGCCCAGTTACCCTAAACCCTAAGGCCCTAAACCCTAAACCCAAACGAGCCCAGTTGGATGTCCCCAAACTGCGAGGATCGTGGGAACCGCGTTCGGATCCACGCTGCGGCCATCCGACTGCCCGACGTTTCGACGGCCCGGGGTACCCAGCCACCCCTGTGGTGTCTCGGGGCTAGCGGTTCAGGATTGAAGTTCTTAGGACTGTTGGCTTCGCCGACCTCCCAAGAAAGCTTCGGGTTTAGGTCTCAGGCTAAACGTTGTCCGTGACTGGCTGCAGAACCACACTTCGGACTATGAGGTGTCTGTTGAAGCTCTGGGACTCAACTCGGTGGTTACGGCCTTACCGGTCGGTTCGCAATGCCGTATTCCGTTTTTTTCTCAGACATCAGAAAAGAAGCACCGAGGTCAAGGCTGTTGCCAGGTTCAGGGTTTGGGTTCCGGGTTTAGGGTTCGCGGTCACTTCCGAGTCGCCCGTGTTCGGCTCGAGAGACCCTGGCTTTTTTTGACATCCTGCAGAGGACATCCTCATCACGTTGAACGATCCAGCGCCTTGGCAGAAGCTTGGCCCTTGCCTGCTCAACCCTACACTCACAAACCCCCAAAACTAAGCCCTAAGCCCCAACACCCGAAATCCTTTATCGAAGCATCCTAAACCCCGATACCCCCAAAGCCCTGCAGGGTTCGTACTTCATGGAGTGTCGGCTCAAGGGCCCTAAACCCGAAACCCTAAA